ACTCAGACATGTAGCACACGCAGCACGCACAGTGTTACTCAGTCACAGCTGAACTTCCTGTCTGCAGTATTTGGGTAGGTGACCTTTTGCTTTTAGGCAGGTTAAAAGCTGGAAATGACCCTGAGGATTTCATACCTGCTGCACATGTTTGACATATCCAGATATTCACAGTGAGTCACCATGAAGACTCACAGCTCACTGTGTTTGGAGAAGCAACTTTCCTGCTGCTGTTCCTGAGTGTTACTGTGATAAAGAGGCTCAGCATGCAGCATTACATCATCACTCCAGCAGCTCACCAGTTTACTCAGCGGTGCTCAGTGGTCAGTTTCCACAGGTCACAACTTTAGCAGTTACTGGTTGGTGTTCAGTGACAGCCTGATTCCACACTGCAAACATCAAGGTTTAAGAAAGAAGGAAAAGATTCCTAAGCAGCAGTGTCTCGGGGAATAATGCGCTCTTATATTTGAATCTTTGTCCTGTTACAAACCGAGCGGCTGAGCCATAAAGTCAGACTCTTTCTGATGGCTGTCATTCACTGACACACAGCATGTCAGCGTGCTGCACACAGTAATCGTCTGAAGCTGACTCAGCCTTTATGATCCAGCAGCTTTCACTCTCAGGAAGCTTTTAAGACTTTCTAAGTCTTCCTCGTTTCCTCGTGCCAATCGGAAATCTTCCCCAGATACAAGAAGCCGACAGAGAACAGAGAAAACAGCGTCACATCGACAATCATCATCAGGCACTCCTTCACAGACAAACTTGTAACACGTGCTCAAAGCTGTCAGACAGGTGTTTGACTCTAACTGTTTCTCACTTTATACAGCCGTTAGGATCAGCACATATATCAGGTAAACACCAAAGGAATTTACGTCTGCTTCAGCCAAGCTGTGCCTCTCGACATCACTCAGATTCAGGTAAAACAGGTCAGTGTGCTTATACCTGGACTGTAGTGTATGATAGGAATTCTCGCCACACCCAGTTCACATGCAGTCGTGTAAATGTGCGGACTTAAAAAAGTCATCATCTCTGATTCATGTGTTACAACACACAAGCTGGTTAAAACACTTTTATCCACACTGAGTGACCCACTGACAGAGGCTGTGTCGCACAGAGGGAGCTGTGCTCTGCCCGTCGGTTAAACCCGCTTCAATCTGGACTCAGCAGCTCGTGTGTGGCTCATTATCCAGCTGATAATCTCCTGTATCTGATATGAACTTGGCTCCTAATGACACATTTATCATCTACACTTTATAGTTTATAACCAGAATTTTATCCACCAGCCGTACAAACACATGAAATTCTCAGTAAATCAGCATCATTCAGTCTCACTGTGGTTTTTACAACAACATCAAAGAAAAGGAAAAACTGCCAAAGATCAATCATGTAAAGTCTGTCACACACACTGGAAATGTCTTTTATTGCAATATTATTACAACAGTAAACACCAAACAGCCCGGTCTGTCAGAGCTCTTCAAGTTTCCTCAGAATCAGTTTTGGTTTGTTTGGAAAGACGTCATTCCTGTTTGGTTTAAACCAGGAATATCCAGGAATATCCAGGAATCGTTTGACATCCAGGGCCACTTACAGCCCACGTTGATCTTAAGTGAGCGAGACGAGTGAAGCTAACTACACATTTAATCCCTGAGATATTTTAACATGAAGAAGAAGAAGAAGAAGTGCCATAACAGGAGAACATCTCAGCGTTTCTACAAGATTAATGCGTAAAATTACAGAAATATTGTGGATCTTTGGTGTTAGAGACTGACATCCAGAATCAGTGTAACATGTAGATATTTAGTACCTGATGAAGAAAATGTAAAAGCAGCACTGCATATCAGATAGAGCAGGTCCACTGAGATACATGTGCCAGACTTTAAAAACCTACGACTCTCTCCATGGATGTTACAGGTTCACAGTGCAGCAGCTGCTCTTTGGATCTTTTATAGACAAATGTCTTAAAGAGACAGACAGTAAAGACAGAGGCCATGTTTACTGCTATTTACTGCTATTTACTGCTCGCTGTCAGGTCCGCAGCATTAAACACGACCTTTGTAACGCTGGACGTCTGTGGGAGGTCCGTTACACAGCTGTATCTGCACAGCTGTATCTGCACAGCTGTATCTGCACAGCTGTATCCTACACAGCTGTATCCTACACAGCTGTATCCTGTGTTACATTCTCCTGTCCGGAGGATCTTCCAGGATCTTCTTGATCACACTCTGCGTACCGAACCCGAAACCTTTCTGTGAACAAAAGAAAACACAAAATACGACTGATGACAGTGGATCGCGTGTTAAAGACGTCACAGCATCTCTCTGAAAGAAGAAGAGCAGCTCTGCAGACGCATCAACACTGAACATCTCACTGAGGTTTAGTCGAGCTCTTTCTACAGATCCAGACTGAAAACTACGGACACAAGAGATGCTGACTGTGACTCCTAATGTCTCTCAGTGTGGTGGACACTTCATTAAGTTCATATATCAGCTGCAGCTGATGCCTGCAGGCTGCTGACCACAGCGTGTGATGGTATTTGTTGTAATATCTGGATAAAAGCTAGAAATGATCAAACCTTCAAAGGATTTTGAAATCTGACTTCCTGGTTTTGCTTTCAGTGACACAGACTGAGAATCTGTCAGCTCATCGTGTCTCATAGTGAGAAAGTTCATTCATCACAGGTGAAGGTAACCCCACAGGAAAC